TCTCATCTGAACTTCAAAACACATGTTCATCAAATCATTAAATCCTTCTATTTCCTTTTACATTTCTAAAATCAAATTGGTTCTATCTCTATCTCTGCTAATAAATGCCTTTATTTTCTCCCACCTGGATTATTGCAACGCCCCTGTAAACATGCCTCAACCAAACCGTAGTAACGTGTTTGCAGCTTGTTCAAAACACTGCTGCTCATAGTTGAACAAAAACAAACCGTAGGGCTCATATAAGGCCATCCCTTCACTGGTTGCCATTTAAATACAGGATTGATTTTAAGATTCAAATCTTCCCCATTTTTCTCACCTCACCCCAACTGGTCGAGGCAGATAGCCACCGACACTGAGTCTGGTTCTTCTAGAGGTTTCTCCCTGTTAATGAGGGATTTTTTTCTCTCCACTGTCGCCAAAGTGCTGCTCATTGTGGGAACTGTTGAGTTTCTCTATAATCTTACGCTTTCTCACGCTAATAAGGTCTTGACCTGATTATGTTATGTTTTGGCTCTTAAATTGGACTGAACAGAATATCTTTAAGTACAATCAATTCTTCATTTTGCCAAGGACTTTTGTGTGAAGCACGTTGTTCGCAAAACGCAAAAATACCAAATACATGGGAGTCAATGTCTCCCGCCCATTTAGAGTGAGTAGTCACGGTCCAAGCGAGCAAGTATGAAAAAAACGGCTGTATTTCAGGGACTGTTTGCTAAAATTGCTCTCAAAGCCACATATGGAGCTAATCAAAATAAAATAGGGTTTGTTTCCTTCTAAGACATTTCACTATGACATCTCTCGGACCTATACTTTTGGCTGTATCATTTTTTTGAAAAAAGTTTTCCGGTTTCACCTCTCCATTGGATGCCATGTTAATTTTGAATAAAAACGTCAGAGAGGACGACATTAGTCAAAATGTTCAAATTGGTACAGTCTCTCTGTTACCAACCTGGATCATGTAATAAAAATGCAGCTCTTATACATGTTTTTCTCTCTCACTCTCTCACTCTCAGGGTCTCTCTCCTTCCTCTTCAGCTGAATGTCTCTCTGTAGAGCCAGCAGCAAGCACAAGGCACCCATTTCTCCGGGAGGAGTTTTCTAGTTATTATTATTATTATTCTTTAGACTTCCTGTGGATTTGTTCTAAGATATACTACAGATCAACCACAAAAGGTTACCGTTCTTATTAATCACATTATTGACAATATTAAGATCAGGTCAGGGATTATACAAGATCAGATAATGCAGTTTGTCTAATCTCCTGTTTTGTGTGTGTTCATGTCTCCAGTACAACAATGTGCCTGTAGTGAGTCTCCCTCAAGTCCTGCAGGAGAACTTGACTTCTGTTGGATTTCTGTAAGTAAAACACACACAAATGCAAACAAACACACAACTATGAGCCTCTGTTTGGAACTTTTTCGGTCATCTAATGAGTCGGTCTGGTTGTTTATGTAGGAATGGAGAGGTGGTTTACGGGGTTCGTCTTTTTACTCCTACCGTTCCTCCACTGGGCATTTCACAGTAAGTCAGCCTGAGAGGCCATGATTATCAACTGGAAGACAATCAAATCAGTCACCTTTTACTGTATTTGTGTTTTTACATGTATGTGTATGTATGTGTACCAGATCCCAGTTAATTGTTCTTTCATCACAGTTCAACACAGTGGCAATTCATGCTCTCATTCATTTTTCTCCCTGTTTTTCAACAGAAAGAGAACGCGTGAGAGCCAGAAGGACGACAGGCCATATGTCAAGAAGCCTCTCAATGCCTTCATGATTTTCAAGAAGGAACAGAGGCCGAATGTCGAGGCTGAGCTCAACATCACTAACAGTGCGACTGTAAACTCCATCATTGGACAGAGGGTAAGTGTCATTGCTCTGTGTGTTTGAGACTCTCAGTGTCACACAAGCGTCACTACGTTTTCTGGCGTCGTTCACGAGCAGTGTCTCAGACAACACTTAAAATCTTTTGGTTCTTGTGAATCATTTTTATTTATTAACAAGTGACCAGGGAACAAATCTAAATGTATACATTAGGATTTCCAGCATTTTATTGTGTCATAATCACTGTGGGAGGTTCCACTGACAGACCTGCACCTAATCCATCAATGTGCATCTGTGTGTATCTGTTTATATGTTTTTATGCTTGTGATTGTGCACTTGTCAGCCTGCAGTTGCATGTAGTTGTGTGTTTTTGTGTGTCCACAGTGGAGGGCGCTGTCTAGAGGTGAACAGGATAAATACTATGAAGAAGCTGAGAAGGAGAGGCAGTTCCACAATCAACTCTTCCCTGATTGGTCGGCTCGTGACAATTATGTATATATGATACATGTTCACATGTTCACACTAAATGATGCAATGCGGTCTCTGCAGAGTTTTTATCTGCTGATATCTGATGGAGTTTTTGTTTTTTGGTGTAGGGGAAAAAGAGGAAGAGGATCAGGAAGAGGTCTCGCACAGGGGCTGAAGGTATGACAATATTTCTGTGGATCAGTGTTTTCATAATAAATCTGAGTAAAACTGACAAGTGACCTCATGGGACACATTAAACATTCAACATAAAAGTGATGAACTCCACAAATGTGATTTTATTTGATATCTGGATGAAAATTATGATTCAATACAAGTCTAAGAAGTAACATTTTGATGCAAAGGTAATTTATACAATGTAAGTGAACTGATTATTGTCTCTGACTTGAACTCTTCAGGAAGTGAGCATCTTCCCCACTGAGCCATGAGAAGTCTGTGGGACAGTCACAACAGGGCAGTTTGAACCCTCCTCCCCTCAGTGCACATCTTCATCATTTTTAAATGTATTTTGCTTTAATGTTGATGTATCTCATGGAATGATTGTTCTGTTTTGCTAGTTAGTTTAATTTGTTGTTGTAGTGCTTGCTGTGTTACTGTCATAGATTCACAGTAGTGAAAATGGTAAAAGATTTTTTGTGTGGGAATTTATTTATTCTTACAAAATGTACTGTTTTTTTTTTACATGAATTGGTCAAGACTGGAGTCACATTGTCAAAACACTTCACACATTCAGTGAAACATGAGTCTAGGTGGATCAAACAAATTTCTCAAAGCTTTATATGTGTGGGCAGAATTTTACAATAAAACAACATAATAATCATTCCAAACACAGCTCATTGTAACTTCAGCTGAACGCCTGCTCAGGTGTTTCTAGTCTCATTACAAAACAGACAAAGGAGACAGTGTCAGAATGATTGAGTTTGGAAACATGGATCACAGAAGAAAGGTTGGTGGGGAAAGAAGAGTCAGGGTTGACCTGAACTCTACGTGCTCTTAGGGCTGCATACTGTAATTGTCTTTGATTTGTTTTATATTGTTTTTAATGTTAAAGAGACTTTGCATGGACCATATGATACTTTCAAGAGTTGTATTTAATTTCACTTATTGATGCGGCTTAAAATGTGGGTTTTTTTTCATTTTACTTGTAGTTTTCATGTCGTCAAATGACAAAAATGTAATCTTCTAAGATCTGTATAAGTGGGGCCATTATTGCATTGTACCTGTGTAGTTACAGTATATATATTTCAATAAAGAACTAGAGCAAGAATCATTCATGGCTGAGTGTTTCATTTCATAATGACATCTCATTATTGTCACTATTGCATCACATGTCTACGCTGCCGTTGTGCTGTTATAGCTACACCTGATGCAAAGACGCTGTTGTTATAATAACTAGATTCAAACTACCCATAGGATCAAACAGTGGAGCTGTTTCTAATGACATCATGCATGTCAGTTTTTGATTTATATCCAGGCTGTAAAGTTTGACCATCTCAGTGTCAAAGTGATTAATTATTAAGCTCAAGGTTGACTGCACAGATTCACATACCTGAACGATTGACTCAACTCTCTGACACAGAGTCGGAGGAACTCACAAACAGGAGAGACGCTAGAGGACCGAGTGTCTGTGAGAAGTCAACGCCGTCTGGAAGATTGAAATCAACATGTCTGCTGCTCTCACCACAGGTCTGAACCTTTTTAACTCTGTCTTATCACAGGCTCAACAACAAGCTTTATCTTCTAGCACGTGAAAAGCAGATTTTTATGGACAGCTATCCAGAGCACAGTGAACAGGAACAAAAGGAAAGACACAAAACATACAGATATGTATTGTGATAAAATTCACTACATTTTAACTTAGTTTGACTTTTCACTAAAAAAGTCAAACTATCCCTTTACCTTCAGCCTGGGCACAACAAAAGCATTTGCCTTGAACGCCCATTGGTCTAACGGTGTAATAAGGAAAAAGGAAACAGCAAAGAAATTAAGTGACATATCTTTCGGCCTGTAAGTAGTAAAAAAATCGATAGGGCACAGTTGTGCTATCTAAAGCACGTGTCCGTCATTTCAGTAAAGGTCATGGTCCTGAGCTAATAAAGGAAAATAATTAAATATGCGAATAAAAATGAAACAAAGAGCAGAATAAACGTAACCGAAGGCAACAGATCAGTGAGTGCACATACATCAAGTAGCATTGCTTGACTCTGTCAACCGTGTACAGTCAAATCAACCCAGAGCCTTCTAATCCAATGCAGCTCTCCTTCCTCTATACCACCAAGTGACAGTGAAGGGGTTTTCATCAATTCAAAGGAAACAATATGATTTCTGAGTCAAAAAAGAACATTTGTTGAACAGCCTCAATCTTCTTCCATCAATGGGTTTAAATCTCATTTTTTATCTTTATGTATTTGTCAACTCCAAAAGTAATGTACATGTGTCCCTGCTGCCTGTGAAGAAATGACAGAAACAATGAGTAACAACAGATGTAGATCCAGCTTTTATCTCAGAATGTTATTGGCATTGACATTCTCCCATCCTCCATGGTTGTTTTGAGTTATTGTTGGCACCTGTACCTGTACTTTGAAATTCAACTTACATTTCTTTAGTGCAAAAAAATGTAATTGTTGTGAAAGGTGTGTCTGTCTCCAAGACAGTGACATTCTATACTTGGTTTGCAGGGAGCAGCTTCACTGGATTCCCCACTGCAGCAACTCCCAGTCCAGGCATCAGTGTTGATGCTGCTGACATCGCTGTGGTCGTCATTTACTTTATCTTCGTCATGGTCGTAGGAATCTGGGTAAGAATACATTAGTTTCAATATTATTATATTATAAGTATCCAAAATCATGCTTATGGGGAATGTGCTGAGCTCCAAACAATACCTGACAAAGAACCAATTAGGCCTCAAAATGTTACACTTTACTTTCTGTAAAAATATGAAAGCTTTGCATGCAGTCTTTACGTGGCATACAGTACACGTTTTCCAGTTCATAACAACTTTCTTTGACCCCGGAGGTAAATTCTAAGGCAAATACAGCATGTCAAAACACAAGTTAAAAACAAGAAAGAAAACAACAATGACATCGGACAGTTAAAGAGATTATGATGTGACTTTAGTGTGTGGTCGAGTGGGTGGGTGTCAGGAGTTGAGGAGTAGAACAGCCCTGGGAACAAAGGTGCCAATGTCCTGATCTGTCTCTGTCTCGTCTACAGTCATCAGTACGAGCCAACCGCAGCACTGTAGGGGGCTACTTCCTGGCTGGCCGTTCAATGACCTGGTGGCCTGTGAGTACTGGTTGTGCTGGTATGCATGTTTATTCCTCAGTGCCATGATAATGTGCTTTATGCTCCATTGTTCTACTGACCACATTCATGTCAGAACACTTATTCTGAGACAGTCAGTTGTCAGCATTGTTATGTTCGAATATGGAAGTTAATTCCCGAGCTTTCTGACCAATACAAATGACAAAACAGTTATTTTACAAATAGGTGAACCAAGCTTTTGTTTAGCAATCAATCATCACACATTACAAGTACAGAGATTAAAAAACATACAGACTTTGTCCAAGTGCTTCCAAAAACAAGATGGTTAAGTTGTGTCACTCAGCGTTGTATGTGTAAAGTCCCTATGATCACGTTTTTTGGGGTCACTTAATCAAAATATAAAATGATGCATAAAAGTCCTCAGCAGAGCATGAACGGTAAAGACATGGCTGTAGACCCAAACATTTGGCTAACGTGAAATTAAGAACAGTGGACTCTAACCCGTGGTATATCAACAATAATTTATGGCCACATCAGGCAATTATGTGGTACTTCCGCCTTATGTGGCCCGGACAAATTGGATGTGAGCCTAAACCGGCCCAGATTAAAAAAAGAAAATGTGATCTGGCAAACAGGAGCAGACAGCCCGAGTGCCATCGTTCCCCGTGGTGTGTGTGCCAGATGAGAGTGCGGTTGTGTGACAGTGTGGGACAAATCAGGGCCAAAACTATTGCTATGTTAGCATTATCTGTACACACAGAAAATGTGCATGGCTTGCGCATCCAGCACAGTTTATAGCCATGTCCATTGTTATCATCACATCAAAGAAGTGGAATGAGGCTTTAAGGGACAGTTGTATCCTGGATGTGAAGCTGCTGGTGAAACCTGCTCAAAACTGTCTCTGTCTATCTGCAGTCTGTGTTCTTGTGCAGCAGGAAGAGGTGCTGCTGCACAGAGACAAACAACTCACATACTTCAGTTAGTTCATTTACTATTTGTCGCTGTGGCCCCTTAGTTATTACCCCCCTTGTCTTGTTGTCCTGCATTTACATATCGATATGCTATACTCAGTAAGTATTTTGTGATTTCCAGAACAGTTTGAATAATTACATTCACTAAAAAGCTTTATCAGACAGTCAAAGAATTCATTATTCTGAAATCTTCAACAAAAAAGCTTCTGCTGTCGTTGTGTATTGCCTGTGTGTGATTTCAGATCGGAGCCTCCCTGATGTCCAGTAATGTCGGCAGCGGGTTGTTTATTGGTCTCGCTGGAACAGGAGCAGCTGGAGGCATTGCAGTTGGAGGGTTTGAATGGAATGTAAGGAACACAATTATGATGTGTGGCATGAAGCCTGACAGACGAGTAGTTCTGTCATATGTCAGACCATATGGCTGTGTTGCAGCTCACCTCAGAGTCCCCCTCTGATTTCACTAACTTCACTGTCCCGCACGGTCATTGTTCAGTGTTGTGAATCCTCTCATGATCATCACTAGACTTGTTCATTTCAATCACCAATGGTTGGACCTAGTTGTAACCATAAAACAATCAATTTAAAAAATGTTGATTACACAAAAGGGATCACAATTCAATCAATGATGTGTTTCCAGTGTGTGTCTTACAGTAGATGGATCCACATCTGTGTAGAGTCAATCTTGTGTAATCCTTCGTGTACTGTATTCAGTGTATCAACTGTTCAACAGCAGATTGACTTTTGTGGGTTTCATGTGTGTGTTTGTGCAGGCAGCCTGGGTCCTGGTGGCTCTTGGTTGGATCTTTATCCCTGTCTACATCTCTGCTAGTGTTGTGACCATGCCTGAATATCTGGCCAAACGCTTTGGAGGCCAGAGGATACGCATCTACATGTCTGTCCTCTCACTCATCCTCTACATTTTCACCAAAATATCTGTAAGACATACACACATTTTTAGATACAGTATTATTTTTACCCAGCAGCAAAAACAAAGGCGGTACAGTCCAACACAGTAAAACATTTGTTTGTGTGTGTGTGTCTGTGTGTGTGTGTTACACAGACAGATATATTTTCAGGTGCATTGTTCATCCAGGTGTCGTTGGGCTGGGATCTCTATCTGTCAACAGTCATACTGCTGTTGGTCACCGCTGCTTACACTATAGCAGGTTAGCACACACACACACACACGCACACACACAGTGGTCGCACGTGCATACTGTTGCATTTTCAAGTACCAGCTTACTGAAAAACATGTTTCATACAGTTGATTGTTTGAACTTCACTTTTGTCGAACTACCAGCAGTTTATCTTCTGGAATGAAATATTTATGTATATCATGTATTTATGTAATGGGGACTAGCTTTTTGTCCCTGTATGAGAGAAAGGTTCTCGTCGTGCGACTGTAAACACATGTGTTTTGTCCATAGGTGGTTTGGCAGCAGTGATCTACACAGATGCTCTCCAGACTGTGATCATGGTTGGGGGAGCCTTTGCATTAATGTTCATTGGTAAGGTGCAGTCAAACACACACACACACACACATGTACGCACATGCGCGCACACACACACACACACACACACATATTTCACAGAATATAACTATTTATTAAGAATAAATAATAACAATAATAGTGTTATTTGTATATTTTCCAGCATTTGACAGAGTTGGCTGGTACGAGGGCCTCGTGGACCATTACATGTCAGCTGTTCCCTCAGTGACAGTCCCTAACACCACCTGCCATCTGCCTCGTAGTGATGCCTTCCACTTATTCAGAAACCCAGTGACGGGGGATATTCCCTGGCCTGGTCTGGTGTTTGGGCTCACAGTACTGGCTACATGGGTGTGGTGCACAGATCAGGTGACTTTTTTCGTACACATGTTGTTTAGCTTACAAGGTATGGGGGGGGGTATGCAGTAGCCCTTTTTCGATTGCCTCTGTGTGTCAGATTGCCTACAGACCACAAACTTCACATGTGCATGTCAATTATGCAATGTTGTGCAGCAACACTATATTGAAAAAGAATCCTGGTTGCAGTGCACATGAAACATTGCATTCTGTTGCCTTTGCTTCTGCTCATTTCTTAATTTTCAATCTAATTTATTTTAGATGCACTCTCTCTAAAAGTAATAGGAGGACTTTTGATTTTCTCACTTTTTGTATTTTATTCGTGTGTGTGTGCAGGTTATAGTCCAGAGATCTCTGTCGGCCAAGTCTTTGTCCCATGCCAAAGCAGGCAGTGTGTTGGGAGGCTACCTCAAACTTCTGCCCATGTTCTTCATCGTCATGCCAGGCATGATCAGCCGAGCTCTGTTCCCAGGTCAGTCTGTCTGCCTCTCTCTTCTGGACTGTTATGTCTGAGGTTCTTAATGTTGAAGCACGTCATCACACCAGTCTTTCAAAGACCGTCATTCATCCAGGTATGGGTGGAGTGGTTCTGAGGGCCTGTGGTCGGAGGGATCATGGTCTTAGTGCTGACATCTTTGCGTGAGACTCAGGACAATCAGTAAATATTTCAATATAAATGATCACATAATATAGTCAAGGTCTTATACACAACTAAAATCGAATGGCTTGTGACTAAAGGTAGGCATTCAATCAAATAGGTTTTCCTGAGGACATCATTTTAAGAAGCGTAGTCATATGATTGCATTCTGTCAATCTTTGCCCTTCTCCTGTTTACTCCACTTTAATGTGTCACCAAACTACCTGTAGGCCATATCAATAAGATCATTACAACCTTACAACAGTGTTACTCCACTACTGTTGGTCAATGTTTAGCTTTCAGCAGGGTAGGTGGGGAATGACTAAATCAGGATTTTCCTGCTGAGATAATCCAGCAACACAACCCCACCTGCTGAAACATAGCTCAAAATGTTGTCAAAATGTTTTCATACTTCACTTCCGGTCAGATATCTGCTTAATATACAATATGTCTACTCAGATACTCTGCCATTACTGACAATAAATCCTCAATTAATTTACTCTCCATTATGTTTCAAACTGTTTATTCTTATCAATGTTGTAAATATTCAACCCTGAGTGAGGACAGAGCTTTTGCTTCGCCTTTTGAAATTCATCAGGAAACCTATGAAGAGCCTAGATTTTCAAAATAATAAATAAATAAATCATTCTTACTCTTGTTGAGGCTTTAGGGCAGATGATATCACACCTTGTTACATTACATCAAAACCCCTATGAGACAAATTGTGATTTGTGAATATAGGCTATACTAATTAAATTTGATTGATCTACTGATTTATTGAAGAGTGGCCATAATTATGAAATGGAGAAGGTTTGGAATCACCAGGACTCTTCCTTAAGTAAGTGACTTAAGTAAAAGGGCCTTAACTACCATAAATGATCAAATAATGTTTCACATCTTCTCTTTGTGTTTGTAGATGAGATAGGTTGTGTGGATCCAGTGGTGTGTCAAAGTGTGTGTGGAGCTTCAGTCGGTTGCTCAAACATCGCCTACCCTAAACTAGTGGTTGAGCTTATGCCTTCAGGTGAGTTGAACACACGCACGATGCAATGTTTGTGTCATTCATGCACTTATATACGTATACTTATATATCCATATACTTATACTTATACTTATAGGCATCACTTTCACCATAAATATACATATATGATGAAAGTGATGCCTGTAGACAGAACATCTCATAGAGGGAGAACTCAAAAACAAACAAACAAATCTTATTTGTAGTTTCACTTACTTTTTCCAGAGCACCTCACCAGCTGATAGACTTTGTTTAGTAGCCATGGAAATGGCTCAGCTGTCACCTGTTTCACTTTAAGTCAAGTCTGAAACGTGTGTTTTTTACCCTGCACTGTATTCTGCACAAAAAGTCAGGCTTCTGGAGTAACAGTGAGTCAGGAAACCTGTTTCCGTTAAAAGCTAAAGCTGTAGCAGGAATGTTGTCGAGACAAAACTGGCAGCTAATCAAAAAACACTGGGATGCCACAACTGTGTCTCCTGGCTTCTGTCTTTTCCTCGTGTCTTAACACCTTTTTCCTTTTTAAATCATGAAGAAGAGATGCAAGGAGCAGATTTGAGGAAAAGAGGAAGTGACCAAACATCTTTTTTAGTGAAAAAAGGCGAGACAAGTCAGTTTGTGATGACGTCACACAGCTGGACCAGTGTTAATGTTCTTCTGTGGCCTTCTTCTGATTTCCTCTCATATGACAAGACTGAATGCACAATATTAATCACTGCACATCGTCCCGTAAAATTAATTGCTTGACAAACTAATAACCTTCCATGGGCATTGGACATGTGCTGCATCAATATCGATACAAAGCTAAAATATCTGGTATTTCACCATGAGTGAGCCATCTGTTGGATTCTTCTCTCTGTGTAGGTCTACGTGGTCTGATGATAGCAGTGATGTTAGCAGCTCTGATGTCATCTCTGACCTCCATCTTCAACAGCAGCTCCACTCTGTTTACACTGGACCTCTACCACAGAGCCAGGCCGAAGGCTACGGAGATGGAACTCATGATTGTTGGAAGGTATGGCTGCAAAGATCAACCAGAAAAACCCACGCAAGAGTAAAAGATCACCTGTATAAATACTCAACCAAAGAACCGACCATCCATAAAAAACCCCCCTCAAATGACTGTAACCACAGATCCCTCCTGAATGTTTTCCATGGTGTTTTCCCATGCATGCTCTGTGTGGCTACAGCCATTGTGTGTTGGTGTGTGTGTGTGTGATCTGCAGCTGGTTTCCTGGTTTTCCGCAGTCAAACACCTTCTATCAAACATTCACAACGTTCCACTACTGACACAACTGCTGTTTCCACTGTGTTACTGACATGTACAGTAAACCACATTAACAGAGGGCACCACACTCCTCAAAAGGGTGTGTGAGCTAGTTTGCAGTCTAAACAGTGCACTGTTATGTTGTCATGGGTAAATGAGACAGAATAAATAAGACAGAATAAACAAGCTGTGTAACTGTTACAATGTTTGCTGTGCACTGTTCTGACTGAATGACATTCTGAGGGTGTAATATAAGATGCTTTTCAAGTAAAACTTGACTTGACTGCTTTGGGAAAACACCCTGTTTGTCTTTTGAATCACCTTGGAGTGAGAGCTGTCCTATTTGCTCTGATCACTTTAGAAATTCTGTTACATATATTACTGAGTTTCTGAATTTCCATATGTAAGATGTCTGATAACAGTGACTCGTCTTAAAGGAATGTTCCTGTGGTTGAGCACAGAAGAGCAGTAAATCCTGTGCTCTTACTGACACATCGCAATTTACATGACTTGGTTTACTTTTAGAAGCTGTCAAAAACATCTCATAATGCTTACAGTCAGTTGAACTCACACAGACTTTTTAAAGGCAAGTCTCTGCACTTGTTAGGCACCCTGACAACGTCAGACTGGGCTCCTCATAAATGAATGAAAAAGAGCCATAACTGTACTTCACAGAAAAACTCTATGTATAAAATCACCATGTGTAAGGTTTCCCAACACTCTTGTTCTTTACGGCTCGGTAACGGTGCTGTAACATTTCGCCGTCAGCTTAATTTAAGTCTTATGTCTATGTTTTTTAGGGTGTTCATCCTGGTCCTGGTGTGTGTCAGTATTCTGTGGATACCAGTCATCCAAACATCCAACAGTGGGCAGCTGTTTGATTATATCCAGTCAGTGACCAGCTTTCTAGCTCCGCCCATTACAGCTGTATTCCTCATGGCTATCTTCTGGCCACGTGCCAATGAGCAAGTAAGTCTCTTTCTCTCTCTCTCTCTCTCTCTCTCTCTCTCTCTCTCTCTCTCTCTTTCTCTCTCTTACGCACACACATGCACACACCACTTGTGCCATGTGTCTGCTCTCGACATACTTTTCTCGAATACTGTTGTATGTAAGGTAATAATACTTTATCATCAAGATGTCATCATGATGTCATTTATACCATATGATTCCCGGGCCCTATGCCGCTGCACTGAATATTATGTGTACTTTGTGTGTCTCAGGGTGCATTCTGGGGTCTGATGGGTGGACTAGTGGTTGGACTGATCCGCATGGTTCTGGAGTTCTCCTACATTGCTCCCTCCTGTGGTCAGCCTGATAGTCGCCCTGCTATCCTGGCTGATGTCCACTACCTGTACTTTGCTCTCATCCTGCTGGCTCTCACCTGCCTTGTGATTGTTGCCGTCAGCTTGGCCACTGCCCCAATACCTAAAGAACATGTAAGGAACACGCCCTGCATTCACTTCATTTATGTTGTCATCGGTAAATGAGACAGAATAAATAAGCTGTGTGTCTGCTCCAATGTTTGCAGAGGTAAAGGATAGCTGATGGGTGTACACCACCTTTAATACCCAGCAGCACATTTCCCAACAGCCTGGGGATTTCCAGAACCTGCACTTGACAAGAATGCTTCCTTTCTTTGTGTTTAACATAAAGATCGTGATCCAGGCCCCTGCACACGTTCATGCTGCTTTCTAATCCTGTTAATCATCTTTATTTTTGTCAGACACCATCACTGTGATAGGACTATTCACCATCTACAGTACTGCCATCAGTCCCTGAAAGTATAGAATCTTAATCCTTCATAAAGTTGCTCTATTCCATGTCAATATCCAAGTCCCTGGAACATGATCTCACTTCCTGAGCAGTGCTGAAATTTAGGAGAACAGCGGAAACAAAAACAGAACTGTTGATATGGCAACATGATAAATAACTGCAGTAGAAAAGTGCTGACAAAGGGAACCTTGTATCTCCTCATTTGGTTGGGAGACAGTGGCAGTTTTTGTGCTATGCAGTTAAGGACATGAGGAGAAAAAACTAAACTAAACGCAGGCTCAAATACCCCTTCTTCTCCTTCTCTCCTCCCCAGCTGCACCGGCTGACCTGGTGGTCCAGATACAGCCGGGAGCCTCGTGTTGAGCTCACAGGACCCCCGCCAACTCCAGACCCAGCAGACTCCGATCACAGCAGCAAGCCTGACCATCCCTGGTGGCGGAGAGCTGCTTTGCGGTTCTGCGGTCTGACTGGTCCCAGCACTGGCTCTGCACCTCCAGTGGCGGAAACCAATGAGCTGAACTCCCTGCAGGAGGATCCTTTCTGGAGAAGATTCTGCAACGTTAACGCTCTGCTGCTGCTGACTGTTAATGTGTTCCTCTGGGGATACATGGCTTAATGCACAGCAGTCATGAAATACTGAACACAATGTTATCACCAAGGTTAGAGTGCTGTAGTGCCATTTGGTCCTGTGTTGAACATGTTTGAAATGAAAGCCTTGGTTCAGTGGATACTGGTTAAAACAGTCAGTTGCTGTCCTGGATCTGTATTCTATGAAACAACACTGTTTATTTAGACAAGACATCAAGTAGCTAATAACTGATCATGATGGATTCTGATATAACCACTGACAAGGCCTATGACGGACTTACAGGCGCTAAAATCACTTTTTAAACACTGCCCTATATGAGTGGCACTCATACACTTATTCTTACTCACACTCTACTGAGTTCCACTCTAGTTATGTTTATGTTAAACTGATGCATTTCAGCATCAAACCTTTGCCAAACAGATCTCTTAGAACAAACTAAACTTGTAACAAACAACAAAAAGGTTCGCAAAAAACAGATAACAGAAGCAGTTTATGTTTAGACACATTTAAAAAAAATCTTTATCCTTAATAATGCTGCAGTCCTCATAAAGATGTAATTTGTCGATCCATGTGGCTTCCATGACAGACAGGATGTAGGCGATGTCTGACCTTTTTAAGTGGATAGGTTATTGTTTGGAGCTCCAGGTAAGTGTCTAACCAGTTCACTTTCCCTTGCAAATGGCATATCTGTGTTATGCTGACCTGTCTTTGCAGACATATTTTTGTCAATGTTTGTTAAAAACTCTGATATTCTGCTTTAACAATATTTCACTTTGAAAATGATGGCTTCTACTTGTATTGAAATCTGTCAGCATTTCAAACCTATAACCATTAAATTATTTATTTTTGTGATTATTCTTGATTTAGTCACAATCATTTGCAATGACTTCAAGGAAGCAAACACTGAACAGATACTGAAAAGTATTTATTAATTTACAAAATTCAAAGTGTACAAATATATTTTGGACAGCTGCATGAATTAAGCGGAATAAAGAGACATCTGAATGGTGGTTTATCAGTAACAGCAAAGTTCATACAGTTGTTGCTTATTTATTGAAGTGTTTACTGTAGAGTGGAGGGAGACAGCAAGTGGAGTGGACGTAGCGACGGTAAACACCAACACCATCATCTGGCCTCCACTGGCTGATGTGATGTCTCAAACTGAACAAGCTGAGTTTAGTCTGTGAAGCGCTCATGTCTCAGTGAGGCTGTTGGTCCTGTTGGAAGCAGGAAACAGTGCAGTCCCTGGAGCTTTAGTTGTTCTGGGAGGACTGCTGCATGATGACTGAACAGAGACTCAACATCTGCAAGTACTCATCTGCACCATCTGACAGGCACTTACTCACAACCTGCACCAGAGAGGAAACAAACACAAACTGAGAACTTCAGGAAGAAAGGAATCAGTCCATGAAAGAAATGTAAATTCTACATGAAAGTTTAAGGTGATAAAAGATCAATAAAATGTGGAATTTTCTTTGCAAAAACTCAAGATCCTTCAACAGATGAGTGGAAGTGGCATCCTCTCCTGTTACTACTATAAAAGCCTGATCTACTAAAGATCTGCGTGTGTAAAAACATGTGCAAACGTGATTGCACCTGCAAAAAAAAATGCTAACTGATCTACTAATGGTGTGCACTGAGGATTGTGTGCAGAATAACACGTGCTGTCCATTTAGTGCGATTGCGTTAATGAATATGCAATATCGGACGTATCTACCTGAGTGCACAAAATATTGAGAGGAGTAGAAATACTTTAATTTAGCACCCGCATTGCAATTTACAAAGCCTGAAAAATTGCAGTGATTGTGACTGCGTTTGTATTTAGAACGTTTGAAAGGTAGGTGCTAATCGGCACAGCATTGCGCAGGGAGATGGCATGGAAGAAGACAGAGAGAACGGGTCTTTTCAGAAAGTAAACTGCACCTGCTGCTCAATATTGGTCAGAGGCATCTCTTCCACTGGTTTTATTTGCTTTATTATGAGCTTATGCCCTCCCATCTACTCAATTTCAAATGGATGTTCTTTTTGTTTTACCCACAGCGTTTACTTTCTCGCAGATACTCTCCCATATAGCGTTTCTTTGAGTAATACTAATATTTCTTTGCTGTAGCTCAACAACATGTTTGTTTGCCTCTCACACTAACACCTCCAATTCCATGGCATTTAATTTTGCCTCGCACTTGCGGTCACTCTGCTCCCCATAAGGCTCAATGGCGGAAACCAGTAACACACGCAAAACATTTATTTGAATACTACTGCCTCTACCATGTTTGTTATCATTTGCGCAATTTTTTTTGTAGATCACCCGCAAAACGCCCACCAAACAGATGAGCAATCTTTTATAATGCACCTGCAATTTAGCATCTTTATTTGGGAATTAAATTACTACAGGTGGAAATGCAGCTTAAACCCAGGCATGTCTTACAAAAGTCGAATCAATCCTTCTGGAGGGGAGTCCGCATAAATGTCATGTTCCGTAGAATTGTATACAGTTAAATCACATGATAGGGAATAATAAACCCTAATGTAATTCTACAGGATCTTTAGTCTTGTGAACTGACATTGATTCAAAATGTATCACATCTGTCTTCACACTGCAGTTAACTGATCATCTGTCACACTCATCCAAGATTCCAACTTTTCTCACTGCTTAAACATATGAATCTGTGTGAAATATAAAATCAGTTGTTAAAACAAGATGTATGTGTTTAAAGTAGTGACCAGCGTTGCTGCATTTGCTTTTTCCCAATTAAATGTGATTTCCTATTGTTCTTTCTTCCCTCCTTCTCTGTAGCTTCAGCAGGGAGCGCTGCATTAGCTCACTTACTGCCATCTTCTCTGTGATGGCCGACTTCTGCTTGTCGCTCAGGTCCTGCTCTATGATCGACTCGTGGAGCTGACTCAGGATCTGTGTGGCTGCGTAGCCTTCATCCACCATGTCCTGACAGAGGAGACAATAAATGTGTGAGAATGTGATGTGTGGGGGGGATGAGGCAAACACAGCGCCTCACATGTTCACTGCATGTCAACATCAGGAACAACCACAGAGGTGTGATCCTTCCATGAGGAACATCACAGTGTCAAATGTTAAATATATATTATTTAGTAGTCACATTGTCTTAATATTTTCAGTCATTGACTGAATTTTTTTTAAACAACTATTAAAAGATCTAAGGGGGAATCCAGCATTTTTCATTCTGACAAGAACACTGAGGGCAATCTTCCTTAGCATTAAGTAACTCCCACCAAAGTGCTGGTTAGTCCAGTCTTGAGGCAGCAGAGTGCCGGTTCACCCATTCTTAACAAAATTCTAAATAGCCAAACCTAATGACAAACTCCTTTACAGTCATCTGCCCAGATGTGATTGATTATGCTCCAGCAAGCACCCACTATAGATGACCTGAGGGAAAGTTTAAGTTCAGAATGCAGCAGGTCAACTGAGTTCAATACAATTTATTATGTCTACCACTGAGGATATGATTTAGTGTGTGTTTATTTGTTAGCTACGGAAAAACTATAAAACTGATATCCATGAATGCTTGTGGATGGACGGGACTTGACACAAGGAAGAAACTATTAAAGACTACTCCACACTGAATATCATTCTAGTTGTCACTAGTTTATTCATATTTTGATCATAAATGATCTATTCTGTAAAATTGCATTCTTCATATTTGCTTGTTTAGGCCCACAGTGTTCTAGTACCCTCTGCTGTCACTGCAGAAAATAGCAGATTCATTTTCTATAAACCAAAAAATGCTATTAAAAAGGCTTGTTGTCTCATTATTAAAAGAAAATTTAAATGTAATAATTGATTTTTTTCAAAAATGTCTATGAAAATGATTGGAGACTTAAAGTTAGCACATAAACACAAGGACAAAAAATGTCCGACATGTCTGTAAACCTACCCTGACGGCAATCTCTAGTTTCTCAAATGTTCCTTTGAAGCAAATCTGGAGCAAGTTGTCGATCATCTTTGGAGGAACGACCTATAAGAGAGCACAACAGTGACATGACCTGAATGTATGATAAGATTGAACAAATTAAACAAATCGTACATCATCAGTTGCTCCAGTCTCCTATATAACACAAGAAGTGCATCTCACCCCGGCTATTTCAGTGACAGCCCTCTCTGTGATCTCTTTGTCGACGCTGAGGCGCGCAGCGCTCTGCAGGAAGGTGATGGCTTTCCGCAGGTCTCCCTCTGACACCCTCACCAATGCTGCTATACTCTAGATGAAAAGAAACAAACGTCATACACCTTCTACACGAACTGGGTTAGTAAAGCAACAGCACAAGTTTTCTGCATGTTGGACTGTTATACATGAAACAAGCTGGTTGGACTAGGGGTCGGCAACCCGCGGTTCTGGAGCCGCATGCGGCTCTTCAGCCGCTCTGCAGTGTCTCCCTGTACAGTGTTGTGCATCAACGTGTTCGTATTTTTCGATGAACTGAACGAATCAGTTTTCATACGATGAACGTCATTTTTTAAAATCATCATTTGCTTTAATTAATTCTCCTGTATATAATCACCATTAAAAGTATGTTCTAACTTCTAATGGGACTGATGGTGGATGACTACAGACTATTTAGTCTGTAACAGCAGAAGCAAAAAGAAACTCTCTTGTAGTACAAAGATTGACTTTAGATGATTCTGTGTGATTGGATAAATTCAGCAGAATCCCACATGTCCCCAACAAGCAGACTCCCGATTTATAACCTGACAAGACAACAAGTCATGTAGTGTGAACTAAACAACGATCCAACGTCATGTAGTGTCAACTCGTGCCTTTTCTCTAAAGGCTGCTATACAATAATAAAACTCACCTTCATGCAAAATGTATAAGCCAATTCCACCTACTCAGCCATGACTACGTCCATAGTTTCTTTCTTTTTTTACCTGTTTGCTGTACTTGAGGTTCTCCTTGTCACAGATGGCCAGCAGGCGTTCTTCTTGTATCTGATTGGCTAAAGGTTTGAAGCGAAACTTGGAACATCTGGATGTCAAAGGTTCAATAATCCTAGAGAAGACAGACGCACAGCAAGGTCAGGATCAGTCATGCAGGGTATGTGTTTGTGTAATGATGATATATCGGTCAGCCGACCTGCTGATGTAATTACAGATGAGACAGAAGCGGGTGGTGCGCGATTGCTTCTCCATGGTCCGTCTGAGAGCGGCCTGAGCTGGTGCTGTCATGGAGTCTGCTTCGTCCAGGATAATTATTTTAAAAGGAGGACATGGCTTTCCACTATAAACACACAGTGAAGGAGTTTTAACATTTAAACATTCACTGACTAAAAGATATATCTAAAACTATTCACCTCAAATAAAAAAGAAATGTTTATAGGGTTATTATAGAGAAAGCATCAGGAAAATTGCTCTATCTATCTTTAAGGTACATGTGATGATCAGTGTTGACTCACTCAGAGCGAGTCCCAGCCACAGTGAGCTGAGCGAAGTTCTTAACCTTCTCTCTGACAACCTGGATGCCTCGCTCATCGGAGGCGTTGAGCTCCAACACCCTCTGTCTGTATATCTCATTACTGGAGGAGAGACAGTGGAGGAGAGACAAGATTCATCCATGAACAGAAAAAAGGGTTTGATCAACTAAAGGGAATAAAAGTTAACTGACAGAAATTTGAGGAAACGCACAGAGCGGACATCTCACAGCATTAATATATTCACTCACCCATACAGTTCTCTGGCAGCAGCTAAGATGGTGGAGGTCTTTCCTGTTCCAGGAGGACCATAGAACAGTAAGTTGGGAAGCTGCAATAAAAAAACAAAGAGACGCAGTGAGACATCTCCTTCATGTCTTTGTAGGACAGCAAAGACACTATATAATTGTGTTTGTCTTTGTACCTTTTTAAGCACCAACTTAATCCCTTTGTATCTGCCTTTATATTGTTGTAATATTACTGATTCATTGTAATATTGTTATTTAATAAGTTTGATTTTTGTTAACAGGAAGTACTGAATGGAGGACAAAATGAAAAAAAGAAATGACTAAAACAATAGAAGTGTTTATGCATCAGACCAACAAACTTATTAAAGGTGAAAAATGTGACAAAGGTGCCAACCAAAGACATCATACTTTCAATTTGTGTAAATAATGTCCACTGACAGAGACTAATACTTACATCAGCTCCTTCCAGAGACTTCTTCAGCACTGCCACCACCTCATCCTGAAAGGCAACCTCATCAACAGACTTAGGCCTGCTGTGGATTGCAAAAAGAAAGACTGTTAATACTTACTGTTAGGTTATTATGATAGTTTGCAGGATTGTTGTGACATTAGGTGCCCTCTGGCTCCAGAAGACTTAAACTGACATCATCTTCATCTGGTAGTAAATTTAAACTGTCAAATTTTCAACAGGGACAGACTGAAAAAGAAGTTTGCTTGTTGGTGAGGTGATATCTATATGAGGATACTGGGGAGTGACGGAGAACTGTGCAGTGTCTGTCTCTACCTGCCTCGTAGCTGACGCTAGCAGGGAAGCACTTATCTACAACACATTTTCCACTAGTCAAAAACCCCACCACAGCTGTTAACATCTGGCTTTTGTCTGCAATGGTATTGGATTCTATCAGTATTTACTCCCAGGTGAAATGATTCTGCAGCAGACACAGGTTTTAATCAGGTCCAGGCTCCAATCGGTAGCAATGGAAACGAGACACCTTGTTCGTCTCGGTGTGCTAATTTGGTGAGACAGTCAAGGGGTGCGGACAGAAGTTTGTGGTTTGAGCAAAAATATGATGCTTCTTTTTCTTAATTTAGTCAATGATTTTAATCAGGAATCAATTTTGAATTGAATCACAAGAAAAATGATGAATCAAAGAGACCCCCCTAATTAGTTTCCCCACATTTTGTAGAGAGGAAAAAAAATAATATTGTACAGTATTCTCTTGGCTAAATCACACCAGGTATAGGTTTGCTGTAAAAGATTCTCCTGTGCCCAGTGCTTCTGATTCTGGTAGAATCAAACACACTATACACCTTTGTGCTTCATACTTACTATTTTTCAACCCATGGAATAGCCTTGGCTTTCTTCTCTGCACTGGGCCCCGCTGCTGTCTTGTCTTTCTGGGGTCTGGTAGTTTGAACAGTTGCTCCTTTCAAAAAGGCCTGCATGTCTGCTGATGTCTGATTTAGGCAAAAGAAGCAAAAACACACCAAAACAAAAATTAAGATGCAGAAAAAGACACACACATTGACAAGAGTGAGACAAAGAAACAGCTGAAGAAGAGGGCTTCCTTTATAGAGAAGATGCATCATGTCTGTAAAAGCACACACAGACGTGACACATGTCAAACTAACACCCAGACTACACGCTACAAGCCTTGCAGACTTTCAGTCATTTAACCAACACATAAAACTGGGACTACAGTTGAAATGCTAATCAACATGACCTACTGTGATACCTGCCTTATTCAGCTTTTTTGAAAACTGCACTTAAACTCTCCTAACTGTGCAATACTCATTCTCTCATATTCTCACACTGTACATATTGTTGTTTTAACACTTTATATATTATTTGCATTTATATATTTTACATGAACTTACACTTAAGTACGTATTACTTACTGATGGCTATGTTTGACTCTTGCTGCTGTAATACTGCACATTTCCTCACGGAGGGACTAGTAAAGCATTCTCTTATTGTATCTTATAAAATAATGTCCTGCAGAAAACTCTGACGTTTGCTCAACACCACAGGACGAAATATAAAACTGTAACAGCAGGTTGACGTAGCTCGACTGGAAGATAATTTGACCATAAGATTAATTTGACAACAGATAACTGCCAGTAATGGGCTCATCGTTAGGACAACAGAGCTCTAATAAGCAGCTGATCAGAAGTCACATCGATGAAGTCTGGCAGAGCACCTCTCCGCATCATCACTGAGTCTGTGGTGAAGTTTGACAAGCGGTTAATCCCACGTTGTTTGCGTCACACGGTTACAAACCCGCTAACACTACTTAGCCGGAGGTGCTGTGCTGGTAACTAATGGCCAGCTAGCAGTATTAGCTCGTTGTTCGCTGTTGATGGTGGAGCTCACCTTGTATATCACCCGCTGTGAAGACAAGCTGTGACTCAGATCTCCCACAGTGGGACTCGTGATACGGGCTCGACACGAACTCTGATAAAGTCCACGAGGAGCCGCTTGTTGACTTGTGCAGCAGCGGCAAGATCTTCCCGCTCTGGCGGAGAACACGACTTCCGCCGACGTCATGTTGTGGCTTCGAATCAGACGCTGCGGATGCTGGAGTCGGCCCCGCCTTTCCTGTGCTCGTTCACGCCCGCCGGTCACGGATGTTTCACGAGAGACTCTTACGTCACTGAATTAAGTTTGACTGCAAAGAACATGTGTGAGACGCTCGTGACGTCACATGTGAACAAAGAGGAGCTGTGCTTTTGTCCCGTCTGCTACTTTATGCATGTACTGCCGCCAGCCACCAGGGGGCGACGGGGAGGTTTGGTCAGCTCGTCGATCTTTGATGACAATGATGAGGCGAAGTCGAGACGCTGGTTTACAACAGCAGACAAACAGAAGTCGCGTGTATTTAATCGTCAGAAAGAAGAGCTGACCTGCAGATGATAACAGAATAAATCAAAACATTGACAATTATTATCAATGTGACTAATTGGCACAGAGTCCAGGCCTCCTGTCTGCCTGAGACCAAACACCAGCTGCAGGAGGATTTGGTTCGTACCATAGATTGTACGTAATGAGGTTAGAAGAGTGCTGAGCCACACCCACATTACTGTGCTTTGTTTGTGCACAGTATCTCATCTTACTTTACATTTTCATTGGACTGTAAACATGTTCCTTCCTTTTAATTTAGCCTGAAACAAGAACAGAATCCAGCATGAGCCCAATATAATGCTGTGATGACTGAGCAGACATAACTTCATACACGGTCTGTCTGCAGCTGCCAATGATGCTGCATGTTTCTATTGTTTGAAAGCGTCCGGTGCAGCCTGTAATTGGCTGGAAGAGGGAGCACAGTAAGTGGCTGTGCACAGATGTCTCAGGCTAATGGTTGCCTGGCTCCCAGTCCCTGGAGCCTCTGGTGATGAGATGCTAACGCCCATGACAGGCTTTGCTTCAGGGACTAGACCTGCTATATGGTAGTATTGAAAGTACCCAGGCAGCCAAATGAGGAATGGGGTTTTAATTGTGCTCACATGATATAATGATGGTGAAATATGAGCTGCTGCACAATAGTATTGTCTATTAGGTGATAGTGTGTGTTCCTTTCAAAATCTAATAAAGATTGGTTTCTGCAGCTCCAGTCCATGTACGAGCTCCAGGATTTCCCTCATGGACTTAGTAACCCCCTCCCCATCCATCCACCCACTCACCCACCCACCCCTCTCCCTCTGTGTCTCTCCCTCCGCCCTGCAGGTGTAGCAGCCCTCTGATTCGTTACCACCCCCCTCCTCTTCGTGACTCATCTTCTTTATGATAGCAAACAGAGAATCATCAGAGGAGCATCAGCAGTGTTTCCTACCCAGAGCCTGAGGAGTGTCTCTGTCAGGGGAGGGGACTTACGTGGGACATACATTGGAGCATCCTTTTCCTTTTTCTATGTTTGACACATGTCTTGGACTGTGAGGATTATTGTGACCTGGAGAATATTGGCAGCATCATGAAAAGGTCTGAAGAAGGGTCTCAGTAGCTGGTGTTTAGCTGAGCTATTTAAAAATCTAATTACTGGATGGCTATTTTGTTGTGTGATTTACAACCTCGCTCTTTAAAAAAAATATGTCCTCCCTTTTTAATTCAGCAACTTCCTAGTTTGCTGGTTGGCATGGTGACAAACCTAATCCCTCTTTTGTTTGATGAGTGACTTTGGTGTTTATTTTCTGGTCGACTGGCTGATAAATGAAGATGATAAATCAACAGTGACCGAAATATCATATTCCCTGACTGGCTGTCATTTCACCTGTGCCTGATTTACAAGCTGATTATTTATTCCCAGGCTTCCTGTTTTGCTGAATGTCTGGGAGAGGCATCATCATAACCATCCTCAGGATTTGTGACTGTGTGGATTTGGAGGAGCTGGAATGAAAGACGGGAGAGGTTTGATGGAAGATAAATAAAAAAAAAAAAAGAGACAACTAAAAACAAGAAGTAGCAGAGAAGAAAACTTGACTGGATTGGGGAGCAAAGGCAGGAGAGATTGTTGAGGAAGGAAGGGTGACAAGAGGAGGCGTGGCAGCGGGGAGAGAGGAGAGGAGAGTGGATGCAACACACACCCTGAGATGCTGTGCTGGCTCAGAGAAGACGAGATGTCGGTCCAGGAGCTGCTACAGAGGGTGCAGTGTGTCATCACTCATGTTGGTAAGTCTTTACATTTTTCCCTTCATCTTCCTCTGTGCAGCACACACGTTCAGATGTGTAGAAGTCAAAGAGCCTTTGTGTTTCTGCTTTGTGGAAAATGCAAAAATGTACAGGAGAGCCCTCTTCTCTTGAACTAGCCCCCGTTGAGTGTGTGTGTGTGGAAAATGTGCTGGAATATGCGGTCGTGTCTGGTGGAAATCTGTGTATTGGTTGGAAATGAGGAGAAGCAGAGCAGATGAGTGTGGAGCATGGAATCGCCATCCTCTCATCAGGACCGCTGAGTGAGGAGGGATGCAGAGGGACGCTGCGCACATGGGCAGAGGGGGATGAATGTCATCAGGATACTACAGGGCGGCCGTTGAGTTTGACTACTGTTTTTCTTTTTATCTGATCATCAACATTTCACTGCATGTGTTTATCTCTGTTTGACAGTATATACGAGTTAGTGATTAGCTTTGAGTGGTGGGACTGGAGGTTTTCTGACTGCAGGATCTGATTCTCTGTGTTTGATATTGAAAGATTTACAAGAATTCAATGACAGCACTGATCCTGTACTTACGGTTGCTTTAGTGTGATCAAGGCTTATCAGAGTTATGAATAACAGTTATTCTGCAGGATGACCGGAGATCCAGTTTTCACTCTTTTTTTAACCAACAAAATTTACAAGGTCAGGGTTAATTGAACTTGCAATCTTGCATTTCTATTCACTACCTCAAATTCCTTACTTTTATCCTTCATCCTGTCACATATTCTCTCTACCTTGTTTGTCCTCTTTAGCCATCTTTTCCCTTTTCCCTCCTTTCCACCCACATTGCATTACCACCATTCCTCATTCCCTGCCATCCATCCTTTTCCATTCCTTCTGCCCTTTCTCTCTGCCTCCCCATCATCTCTCTTTCCTTCCCTCTCTTCGACTCATTTTCCCCTACTCCCTCCATCTTTTCTCTTCCTCCTCCTCGTCTTCCTCCTCCCGTTCTGTGTCCGGGTTATTTCCCGGCTGGTGGGGAAGTAGGTTAATGTGCCACGCTGGAGACTGTCGCACAGCATCCTCCATCTCTGCACTTCCTGTATTGCATTGCAGCTATCTGGTGGTGGGTGGTGGTGGGGGTTGGGGTTCGTCACCATGGAAACTGAGCTAGCTTTTGCTAAGCATGAGGGCCTGAATTGATTTATTGGTTTCCTACATTTTAAACACATATGCTGTTGCTGTTTGATTTTATATGAAAATTCAGGGAGTCTTGGAGGAGTATGTCATACAGTAACCAATATGTGCAGTGAAACATATTGTTTGGAGAAACCATCTAATTATAGATGTGTGTGCTTGCACTTTAAGGACGTGTCATCCATGTTGGATATAAACAGGTGAGATAAAATGTACCACCTTACCATCCAGTAGCTGTTCTTCTTCTTATTTTTAAGCTGTTCTGGTTCAAATGATTATACTAGTTTCATCCACATCACTTCTCTGCATAGGCTTATTCATTGTTCACATATGTTAAGTAGCTTTAAGTTTGAAATAAAAAGGTATCTCACACACACACTGTCTCAATTTATCAATGGCTTTTTGCCTGCACTGAATAAAATGAAAATATTGTGCACACTTTGGGCATCATCTTAGTTAAAGATATTTGTTTCTCCTTTGAAACTATCATTTAAGATGGAGTTCTCTGGATCAGAGCAGTGTTGCATGATTTGGAGAGGTGAGGTTGAACAGGTTTTTAACCACGGTGGTTATATGTAAAGGACTTGGGAAGATCAGTGTTGTTCATTGACCAGCAGAGAGCTCACTCGCTCCTGTTGAGCCACACAGCTGTTTGGAGGACCTCGGCACAGCTTCTGGCAGTGGCAGTATTGTTATATTGGATGACTACATATATGCAAGCCTTATATGTAACGTATAGGTAACCATACACTTGCTTCTTTACAGAATGTTCATAAAACAAACTAAGAGGAGTAGTTGTAATCAAATTCAATGTCAGCTTTTCCTCTTATCTCTAATTTCTCTGTTTAGTCCTTTTGTAGACGATCTGTTGTCTGATTGTCGTGTTGGTTCATCATTAGTGTCACGTAGATCCCACGGAGCCTGATCTGTGTTAGATGACTGTCACATGACAGTAGTAGTTGTTTAAATAACAGTGCTGTGAAATGAGGAAGTCTAAAGTCTGAAATTAAATAAATCCACTATAATCTATTATATGTTGACTATACTCTACCTTTAGCATGTAGTTGATATACTTCACCATATGTGTCCACATAATGTATGTAGAAGATTAGTAGTGAGAGTAGACTTGCTGTTTTACAGCATGGAGCCAACATTAGAAATGAAGCTTCCTGTAATTTCCTGGACATGCTGTACACTGTACATGATGTACATCAGGGCGTTTACAAAGTTTACGTAGTCACAAACAGTTCTCTCCACTCACGTTTGTTAATAATATTTAGAATTGTAGATTGTCCAATGAGATTGCAGGCATTACAGAAAACGTAATTATAAAATGTGAAAATATAAATATTTTGCTTAATTCATTTTGCTAGTGGGGGAATATTGGTGAAAGAGTATTTGAAGGTATGGTAAAATCTCCTTTAGAATTTAGTACTCTTATTATAAACATGAAAACATATACTACATAAAACCTGCTCTTCCTTTGGCATTATTATGAACACATAACCTTACACACATCCACACCTATACTGCTCATAGACTACTTAATAACATGACTCACAGCTAAATCCTCTATTGATGGTCAATGATGTCACAGCAGCACTGGGACGTGTAATTTCCCATCAGGCCGGTTTTCCCCCCATGCATAATTCATGGATGCGTCTGCTGCTTTATGTGTTCCCCGATCTAAAATGGCTACTCCTGTCCCACTGAAGCGTGCAGTTAGGGTGAGTATTACTGAGGCCCGCAGATAGGAGCTCGCTTCTCAGCCACAATTTAACGCTCTCCCCCGCTCTGTGAGCTGCTGGTAGAACTGGTAGTTTATTGTAGGAGGGTGTGTCAATGGGATCCTGTGAGTGACATTTCTCGTGAAAAGGTCAGGCTGCAGGGAGGGATGATGCTGAATGTTTCCATGTGTTTTTGCTCTGAGCAAATTATGGTAGAACGGAAGTTAATTTCTCTAAAGGAATCTGGAGAAAGCTCTTTATTGCAATGCAGACCGCTGATTCATACTGACATAATATCTGTCTCTTTCAGACCTAAATTTCTGGGCTATAGACTAAACTTGATGCCCATTTTTGATCTATCTATATATAGAAATATATAAAAATAAATGTAATATATAAAAATAAGCTATAAAAAATCTACACACCCCTATAACCTGTACAATTACACTGGAAAAACAAACAAAATCCCCATAACCTTTAAAATCCCTTTCAAATTTACCAGATAGTTCAAACAAACTGCAAGTTTTAACATTAATTAAAAATAAATATATGGTCCATTTGATGCAATAAGTAGGTAATGGAATTTATGTTATTTGGTCAATGTTATTATCCCTATCCCTATGTTCTCATTAAAATATTTAAAGGTGCAGTGTGTATGATTTAGGTGAAAGAGATCCATTGGAAGAAAGTTTATATAAAATAATCCTAGTGATGTTTTCACAAGTGTGTGAATGTGCCCTTTATATTTACATCAGGAGCAGGTCCTCTCTCGAGGCAGCCATGTTTTTTACAGTCGTCCAAACTGGAAAAACTAAACACCTTTTGAGTTTTTATGACGACTGAAGCTACCACAGGTTACAAGAGAAAGTTCTCTTTCATGTTTGAAAGGGGAGGGTGAGGTGAGGGGTGTTCCGCTGCAACATTCAACTTCTCCACAAGATGTCATTAAATTCTACACACTGAACCTTTAAGGTCAAACTATTTTAAAGGATTTTTCTGTCAAAGTCTTGAAGAGCACTTGCCTCCTGTGTATGTGTGGAGTAACACAATGTAATGGTGTGCTGCTGACAGTCTAGTGGGCTAAATGAAACATTGTACATACAAGTTCAGTCCAGAACAGCAGCTGTGCAGTGTTTCAGTCATCTGTTGGTAAAAGAGTAAAGAGGATTAGCATGACAGTCACAAGTAAGAGTGGATGTCATCACCACAGCAGAATCTAGCTGGGGACACTGCAAGAATAGTTGAGTACTTTGCTTTGTAATTAACTGCAGGAACACTTCACCGGAGGAGATATTTAACATCTGTGCAAAGGAGAGAGGATGCTATAAAGGGGAAGGATGATAAAAGAGCTGGATGGCACGTAAACATTTGTGTAATGGCTACAATCTTCTAACAATATTATAATGGATTTTACATAACCATTGAGTATTAAATACATTTAATACATTTGGGTAATGGCTACCATATGTTCTCTTTAAACACAACAAGTACTAAACAGCTTTTCACATGTGTTTGGAAGTTTTTGTTGGCAGAACAGAACCACAGTGTTGTCCTGTCTTGATAATGGCAGAGGACTTCTCGAGCTCTTTGGTGTACAGAGAATCACAGAGAAGGTGCAGCTGGTTTATTGTACCCAATATATTTATCTTGGTCTGTGATTTATATGTAGTGAAGTTTTACCTGCTTCTTTTGTATTATAGGGTGAGCTAAAAGGGCACATACAGCTCATTTTATATCCATGAGGAATCTGTCATATCATTCACATCATTCTCTTTTTACATATTGAACTTATAAGAATAGCTGTTACTTAGTAGTACTTTGTCCTTTCAGATTTTTTAGTGGCCATACAGCAGTGTCTCTATGGTCAATTACTGTAAACAGTTAACTTTTTAACACAGAACAAACTGTAATTTATCTTAATAAAAGGTAATAATATGTTTTTTGTGGATATAAATTGATTCAAATTACAGTTGGAGTGCTATTTTTTATTTCCCTTACTGTATATTATCAATAGACTTTAAATCTCCTACAAGGACCTTTTCATTTTCATTGATTTTGGCACTTGGACAAAAGCGGTAGAGTTTCCACTGTCACCAGTCGTTAAAAACCTC